TACAGACATTTTAAATTCAAATTTGGATGAAATTATATATTAAAAAACCTAGAATAACTATTTTAGTTATTTTGTTGTGATTGTATAATATTATTCGTGGGTACTTGAAACTTCTAAAGTGTACTATTATATTTATATATCTATGATAGTATCACGGTTTATTGTTGATGTATAATGCTTATAAGTACCTAATGGATATTGTGATATGATTAATTTGGAATTTATTATAGGTCAATTTTATTTTAATACGATATATATGTAATATGTATATAATATGTCTTAACCTAGACTGACATACCGTCTCCACTCAGAATCGTTTTTCTTATACAATGATATTATATCATTGAATTCAAATTTAATACCATCCATTATACAGTGACCCACTTATAACCTACAGTACAGCAGAGCACATTTTTTAAATTACAAATAATGTATAATCAATTAGGTATTACTAATCAGTAATTGTATAATATTTTTTCAATGAAAATTATTTGGGGTGGCAAAATATCTAATCATACCTCATTATGTTTATTACATATAAAAGACATTGTTAAGCAATACAAATTCAAACATACAATATAGTGTAGTTTAATGATGTTTAAAAAAATTTAATTGAATCGTGCGTCGACTGCAATACGTAGAAATGAAACATATTGTACATACAACAAAATTGAAAATTTCTTACAAACTCTGGTTATAGTAGATAATATATGCTTTTGAAATTATAATAATTTGTGTATGAAACTTACTATTAATCAATTTAAGTGTATATACATATATATATATATATATATATATATATATATGTGTGTGTGTGTGTGTTACATCAGTTACAAACTAACAATGAATAATAATTAAGTGTTAGCTGTAGTAATTCTTATGATTATCAGAGAATGGTTTAGTTGCAAATTAGTAATCAGTATTGATACAATGATGAATCTTTTTGTTGTGTTTCTGCTACATCTGCATTGATGAAGTCATTTCTAGTATAATGTTTCTGAAATAATACAATTGCATACAAATATCTGCTGATATATTTTAGAGTACCTACATAAATAATTCTAAATAATTTACCACATAGTGTGCGAGTCGTAGCCAGTTTAAATGCATGTTTGACATTTGATACAAATACATTACAAAATCCGCATCAAGAGAGAAGCACGTAGAGGTTGTCGAATTTCCCCTATGTCTTAGTAGCAGTACAACAATGATTCTATTTCTGTTACATCTGCATTGATAGTCATTTTTAGTATAATGTTTCTGAAATAATACAAATGCATACAAATATCTGCTGATATATTTTTAGAGTACATAAATAATTCTAAATAATTTACCATCTAGTGTGCGAGTCGCAGCCAAGTTAAGTGCATGTTCGACATCAGTTACGTATTCATTACAAAATCCACATCCAGAGAGAACCACGTGGAGGTCGTCGAACTTTCTCTCCTCCGCGAGTCGTACTTACGACTGCTTATAAACCATGTGTCACACAGATGGGATTCGATGTTCATTAAGTTCTTGTAGACTTCATTGTACAGTTATATCGCTTGTAGAATTTCTCTGTACACAATGTTCTTAGTGACGAATCTACCACGGCCATCACTGTACATTTTTATGGATTGAGAGTCCCTCACTCGGGAAAACGCTGCATACAGTTGTCCTATAATAAAGTTTAAAAAAGTAGAATATAAATGTATCATTAGGTATCCTATGTATTTATTAATATAATATATATAAATCATGTATAATACATTTTTGCATGCCAACGACATAATAAAAATGTTGACAAATAGTACAATATTTTAAGCATAGTTTTACACCTTTGGAGGAATTTAAATTCAATTTATTATAATTTTATAACATATAATATGTAAATGTAGTTTTCTTGTTTTGAAATTTGTTTGAAATATTGCAAAAAATTAATACGTGTAACCCAATGTAAAGGTTAGTACAGTTATAAGGTATGAATTGAAGTAATTAAACTTGGTAATACAATATTAGTATATTATAATCGAGGGGTAAACACCTTGGGGGTAATCATGGGTAATCATAGGTAATCTTTGTAGTAAGTCATGGGAAATCATAGGTATAATCATTTAAATCAGTAATCTGGTGTACAAACTTTCTGTAATTACCCCTCGTATATAATATAATAATATTACATAATTGAAATGTATTGAATTTACTTATTATTACTTACCTTATTACGTATGTAACGACATTGTCATAAACAATCGACACACCAAGCTCCTACTAAAACTCTTAGCTATAATAGTTAAATGTACTGCAATACTCGTGAAAAATGTCTATCTAATCCGTGCATTCAAACTACTTATATTTTTAATATTATTGAAATGCTGAATGGCTGAATGGCGGCTTCCACAACGGTACGATAATAAAATTCATAATAATGACATTTACATAACACTTGAACAGTTTCTGAATATTGCGTTTTACATATTTTATATATTTTACACACGGAAATATCACAATTTTTGTAAAAATCGCACACGCACTTTTTTATTTTTATTATATTATATAATATATAGAAATACGGAATAACTCGGGAAAATAATATTCGAAAATATTCACGTCAATCGTCGATAACGAAAAGGGAGATAAGCGAGCGGCGACGTGAAAATTTAGCGAACGCGCGAGAAGTATTATGATTGGTCGTCATGGAAGAAACGCGGAGTTGCTTATTTGCTGCGTCGCGCGAGAAGTAATATGATTGGTCGTCATGGAAGAAACGCGGAATTCCTTATTTGTCGCGTCGCGCCTGGTGGCAAAAAACGGAGACTATTTGTGTTTTATAATATAAGAGATTTGTAAATATGTTTGGTCTGAATTAGAAAAATGTATGATGGAATTTATTAAATGTTGTATGTGTATTGAATGGTGTTTTAAAATTTCGTGTATATTGATATTATATAAACCGAATGAATTTGCTGTAACATTTAATATGTGTGAATCAATTTTTGTATGCCCCCATTTCTTGACTGTAGCGATTACTTTAGCCACACTTAAAATTGATGTCTAGGGAAAATTGAACAATAAATATGTTAATAAATTAATAATATTTTATTATTTGTAAAATGTATAGTACTTTATTATTCTTACATCGCTATGGCGTGAATACTGTTTACGTTTTTTTATTGCAGGCTTAGATACGATCGTACAGATATTATTTTTTTTAAGAAGACGTGAGTCCCTCCTTAATTTAGGAGTTTTTGGTATTATTATTTCTTCATTAGAAAAAAACAATTCTTTGGGAATGTACTCAAGAACTAAAAGTAAAGGTAAAACAATTACATACATGTCTATATTTGGTTGAAAAAAGGTTGAATATTTATAAGACTTCCAAAAGAAGAAAAATTAATGACTGCCAGGTGATTCCTATCAAGCAGCCAAACTCCCAGTGCCTACAAGGTTTTTGGTATTTTTACACGAAACTACTGGGGATGGTAGCCATGAACATTTTCAATCTAACAGTGAAGGTAACCAGTCTGTAGTCCTATTATTCGATTTTTAATTAATTAATTTAAGTGGTATTTGCACAAAACACCCGGGTGATTGAAGTGCGATCGACCAGACTCCAGCCGTCCGTTCTCGGTTAATATTAGTTTTTTGACCCCCCTCCACAGGACCGAAAACACTCCCCGGGTGTCGTTCCATAGGTTTCCTCGAAAAAATCAATGGGTTGTGGGAGGCTAAAACTCACACATCTCGCGATTTTACGTAATTTTTACGACCCCCCGCCCGCCCAAAAACTTCCACGGTATTCATTTCCGTAAAAATTTGAAAGCTGAATCGTAATCAGCGGCTCGAGCTCTATAGAAGTACAGTATTACATTGTTAAGTATCGAAAAACTTCGCACTGTAACATTCCCAAACCATTGACGAAAGTGCCGGGTGAGATACTATATTTCTTACCCGGCATTTTTGTCAATTATTATCGCGATTTTTGTCGTTATGGGTAGGTAAGGAACTTACATTCTGCAAATGAGATGGTGTCGAATATATTTCTCCTGTTAGGTTTCCGAAATTGTCTTCGTCTTGCAAGCCGGAATATTGCCTTCGTCCGGCTTGAAATGCATGTCATTGCTAAACACAGTAAAAACATCTAATTATACAGAAGCCAATTACGAAATACCTAATAATAATATAAATAATAATGAAATATATATATCAGCTATAAGTCTACGTAATAACCGAAAACCGCTCACAATTTAATATTTTGCTTAATTTGGCCAACATTTCTAATTTTTTATTAAAAAACCGAAAACCAAATTAAATGAAAGTAACCAATTGAATTAATCTGTTATCAGTGAATTATTTAAAACACGATTATATGTAATATAGCGTAATACTGTACGCGGCAGTGTTGGGCAAATCGTAATCTGATTAATGATTAAAGATTATGATTAAAAATTGTAGTTATTAATCATAATATAAATTAATGTAATCAATAATCACAATAACAAATTATTTTAGATGATTAAAGTCATAATGTAATCGTAGTATTGATTACGATTACAAAATATGTTAGTTCGTAATCATGACTAATTTTTAATGATTAATAATTAATGATTAATGATACTTCAATAATGAATTTGGGCTGAATAACTTATATATTGAAGTACTGTCATAGCCGAGTGGCATAAGACGGCTGTGCGTAAACTGACAGTCACTGGTGACTGGTTCGAATCCGGCAACCGGTGGTTTCGCTTTCCGGGCGATGTTATGAATACATTTAACACGTGAAGGCAAAATTAACAATAAAATAATAAAAAAAATGCATCTTATAAACAAAATACTTTCTTTTAATTAACTTATTAGAAAATAGAAATCAATAAATATAAATAATAATATGATAATAATAATACAATTTAAATAGTAAATTCGATTTATTTAGGTGCATGCTATATAACAACTAACAATAATATATGATAAATACCAACGGCAATCCCAAGATGTAGAATTTGAAACATATTTATTTTTTACAATAAATTTGCTTTTAAAACAACACGTTTTTCAAATAAATTATCTGATAATTTATGGCTTTTTGGTTGATTTGTCATAGTAGCAAATGAGAAGAGTCTTTCTACCGGAGCTGACGATGGGAGCGGAGTATTATATTGAATAAAATCTTCTTTGATTGTTGGATATTTGTTTAGGTTAGGAAGGTCATTTTCTTCATCAGCAAAAAAATGTAAAACTTCTAATTCTAATTTTGGTATACTGGTTAATGTTAAAGAAGAAGATCCAAAGTCGAAAAAGTCGTCAGTTGTTTGGTTTTCAGGAGAATTTTTTAATTCTATGAACGTATTTTTCCCAATAAGAACTTCATTGGCTGTTTTTTTGAAAATTTGTATGAGCCTGTCATGAAATTGAGGCTTAACGCATGTCAACCAACGTTTTTTAAAACGTGGATAAGACAATGCTGCAATAACAGCATTAAGAGATTCTGGAGAAGTGAAATTTAAATAATTTCGAAATCTTTTCTCATTACTTTCTAACAAGGCATGGACTATAGGAATATAGCAATATATCCAAGTATGATGGTCGGGTTTTGCTAATATTTCGATTTTTCTTCTCAACGCTAATAGACACGGTAATACTACACCATAATAAGTATTTAATTTCCCTTGCATTATATCTAACGCTTCTGAAATTGGAGCTGCACACCTTAAGTGTTCTTCAATATAATTAAAATCTTGATCCCGTAAAGCATTTTTGGTATTTATTTCTAGAGCTCTATTTAAATTTAAAATATTATTTTTGATGCTTAATATTTGTCGAAGTGAATCGTATAAACTATTCCATCGGGTCTCTCCAGGTCTACTTAGGGTATGCCCTAATATATTTTGTATTATTTCGGCTGATTTAGGCCGTCCGGCTAATTTCCAAAGAATATTACATTTATTTATTACTTGGTCGTGTATTGAAGACAATTCAACACAGCTTTTTATGACTTTATTTATATCTGTAGTGGCACATAAATTTAGAGTATGAGCAAAACATCTAAAATGCATGGGCAACATATTTTCGATATCAATTGTGTGACCTACGTCATTTTGTGTATTATTTTGATTTGATTCTAAATCAGACTCTGAGTTATCAACTGAATTTACCTCTTCGACCATATTGATGTTTTGTCTCTTAACTCCAAACATTTTAACACGTTGACTGCCATGCGGCCGCATAAAAATAATTACGTATCGATCATTTTTAGGCCGCCGGCTGCCGTAAATGAATTTAGATTTATATTATTAGCTTTTCCATGGCGCTACAATAATGAACTGAAAAATGCGCCGTGGCGTAGTTGGAAAAATTACAATTTTTTTGATGTAATAAACATATTTTTAATATTTTTTTTGAATTTTTTAGTAAACATACAATTCAATAGTATATATACAAATTTGTAATGACACCAAAAAATTTGCTTGGCGCACCAATGATACATATTATTATGGCCGCCGGGGGCCGCGTGGCAGTCAACGTGTTAAACGCCTTAACGAAATTGCTGCCGTTATCAGTAATCGTTGCTATAATCTTAGTAGAAGCCAAGTTAAATTCTGAATTTATTTCATGAATTAAATCAGAAATTTTGTCATAAGTATGACTACCTTTATAACGGCGACATGCTAACGCTTTTGAAATCCTATTTAAATTATTTTTTGAAATCCAATGAGCCGTTACCCCGAGAAAACTTCTTTTTTTTTCCAGACCAAATATCTACTGTAGTGCAAACAAATTTTACATCGTTAAATTTATCTTTAATTTCTAGTATATTTTTTTCATACAAAATATCAATTTTTCGACAAAAAGACCGCCGACTTAAAACATGAAGTCCACAATCAGATATGTTTAAATTGTCAAACATTTTTAGAAAATATGGGTCTTCTACACACCTCAAAGGAATCATTGAATGTAAAAAAAAATTTATCATATCAGCTTCTAAGTTTTCCTGGGTTGTTTTAGTTTTCAATTGTTTAGCAACAGTTTTAATTTTTTTATTTGGCCTTTCAGTTGATTTTAAATAAGTTTTGTATTCTTCAATAGCATCTTGGCCATCTCGCCGTTTTAAATGAGTGACAAAGTTAGAAGATGAATTTCCATAACCCTTCAACTCTACAATTTTCGGCTCACATTTAACGCATTGCACAACAATTTTATTTTCTGATGATTTTTCATTTAAAATCTTAAAAAATTTACCATCAATTGACCGTGGAGGTGGAGGATGAGACGGAGTTGGTACAGATAAAAACATGCTAGAGCTCTGAGACACAGAATATTCTTAACTGTCACTCATTATATTATTAAATTTTTGTAGAGTACAATGTAATATATGTATTATACGAGATTAAACCAAAAATTACGAAATGCAATGAACACGGAATAATAAAGCCAACTAAATAGGTACCTACTCATAATATTTTATTGTAAGTTTACCGAATTAAAGTAGATATGAGGTACATATGAAGTTATATCTATAGAAAAATACCTTATAACATGCATAAGATAAGATATATGAAATTAATTAGACTTAATGGACCTTAATATCGTTGATATTTTGGAAATTCATACTATTTTAAGTAATATCATATAAAAAAAAAACAGTTTTGCGATAAAGATTAACGATTACAAATATGTAATCATGATTACTGATTACTTTGAGAGATGATTAAACGACTAATGATTAATGTAATTTAATAAAGTAATCGTAATCGATTACGTAATTTAATCTTAAATTAATCGATTACGCCCAACACTGGTACGCGGATCTATGTATAATACGATATAATGGTGTGAACGGGTTTAAACCTCGGTAACTTCCAAGATATTCATTTCCGCCAAAATTTGAAAAATGATTAATGCTCAGCGTCTCGAACTCTACCGGATTGTAATTGCTCAATGAATCATAAATGAATCACGCATGAAAGTCCGTAGGACTAGTATTTATCGAGATATCGTATTGTAAAATAGTTGAATAACGATACGTAGATAATTCCATGATACAGGCCGCGGTGTGTATACAACCTCGATGTTTTGAATTTCAACGGTTTACTTTTCATTTTAAAATAATGAATATTCTTGCGATTGACTTTAAACCTTCACTGTTTCATTGAAAATGTACCTGGCTACCATCCCTTCTAGATTGAAAATGTTCATGGCTACCATCCCCAGTAGTTTCGTGTAAAAATACCAAAAACCTTAATACAGCACGCGTATGAGGATCGCTGTACCACCAATGCACAATGAGAACGTCGCCTCCGTGACAATTATAGTAGGTTAACCAAACTCGCAGGAACGGTAGCCCAGGGTACTTGCTACGATGTGTGAAAGTTTCAGGACGATCGGTTGAACGGTTGATTTTTTATATTTTTTAAGCAAGTATTGTGTTTGCCGGGTGAGTCCCGAGGTAGACCAAAAATGCACAATGAGATCACCGTCTCCGTGATATTTGAAGCAGACTCATCAAACTCGCAGGGACAGTAGCCCAGGGTACTTGCTACGATGTGTGTAAGTTTCAAGACGATTGGTCAAAGGGTTAATTTTACAAAATTTTTGGAATTTTTTAAATCACTATCATACGTAATTTAGCATAAAATGTACTATAGACGGGTTGCTGTACCAACAATGCACAATGAAAACGCCGCCTCCGTGATATTTGTAGTAGGCTCACCAAACTTGCAGGCATGGTAGCTCGGGGTGAAGTTTTAATGGTAATCAGCCCAAATGTTATCCCTAAAAACTTATTCACAGGATAGCAGACTACCTACCCTTTCCAGGGATGTATTTTTTTATAGTTGTAGGGTGGATGGTTATTTTTTAATAATTTTGCAAAGCTATAGTTTAGCATACGGTTGCCGCATGATGCCAGCTATTCGGTCTCTCTGCGGTAATCATCTCCTCATCGCCAACCAGCCCAAATGTTATCCCTAAAAACTTATTCACAGGATAGCAGACTACCTACCCTTTCCAGTGATCCAATTATTGGACTATCGCTATGAAAAGCACGTCGTTAGATAGGTATAGTCGTTGGCTACTCGGTGTACAAGTTTCAAAAATAAGGACTAAGAATTACGTGGTCCAGGACTTATAACTGAAAAAAGGATTTTTTGAAATGGTATGAGTGTATTCCTCGTTACCTTAACTATCATCCCATAGCGTTTTCGAGAACATCATGTCCAAAAAACGGCCGCCCGTCAGGTAAGTAAATGATTTACCGCAGGACCAAAACTAGAATTCTTGTACCACCTTTATAAATAGCATATCTATCGATTGGTATACACGTTGGCTACACGGTGTAAAAGTTTCAAAGTTAACAACTTAGAATTACGCCGTCCAGGACTTATAACTGGAAAAATGATTTTTTTTTAATTGCAACCCGGCGGTAAATCTCATACTTAGCTGCCGGACGGCCGTCCTAGAGACTTGGGAATTTTTTCAACAGCCTAACTGCTGTCTTTTTTTAGTTATCCAAGACCTTGAATTTCTTTCCAAAAATATCTGTAACAAACACCATATTTCTTTATTCTGTAACCAAAGCATACTAGTATCGCCTTTAGTGTTTAAATTCAAAAATCTAAAGAAGATATTTCTATCTCTTCGTTTTCAAAAGAAATTTGCGATACCACATATTTCTCAACTCCACGATAAGACTTCATGTAATACATTGGATCTTTCACCAATTTGTTCGTACGGTATAAGTTATAATTTCCTGTTGGAGACTTATCAGTGGACGATTCCAATACAACTGCGTGCCCATAAGTGTCTGATAGAATTTGGGTAGTCGAAGCCACAGGTGAAGCATTAACAACAGTTTTATTTATATTCTCAATGACTCTTGGACTTGTACTATTTCCTCTTGTTAATAGACAATCGTGATCACTGACGTCACTGAGGTTATCAAATAATTGCTCACCTATATCCAAACTGCCTACAATTGGTTGATCTGTTTGACTACAAACAGTGAGATGATCATTATTAAAATCATCTCCTTTTGAATGTAATATAACACCCTGTTGTAGTGTTTTATCTTGGCTCTGTATATTTAATGACAAACAATTTTGTTGGTTTTCACCATAACTTTTGCCTAAAATTGTATTATTGTTTCTCAAGAATGCTGGACGTTTTCCTTTCTTCCTCCATGTTTCTGGAGTATTTAAATGCAGGTTGTCCTCGTCACAATCAGCTTTTTTTTATAGCACATTTACGTTTAGGTATTTGTAATTCAACCTGTTTAAAGCATTGAGCTTCATATTGGGTTATATTTTCTATAAACCTACCACATTTCATTCTTCGTGTGCCTTGTAAAATATGATTTTTCACTAAATTAAACCAACTTTCTACTGATGCATTACTCTGGCGTTCTTCCAGATGAACAAGAGTAGTCATAACTTTTGTCCACAGAGGTATGTATGGCACATTTTCAATAAGGAAATGTAACAAGTACTCTTCTGAATACATGCTATTAACATCTAGGCGATTATGATCCTGTGATGTAATATTTACTATTTTTCTCACACTATCGAATATTTGTTTAAAATCATGATAATATGCAGATTATTTTCGTTCGGCATAATACGAGGTATCAGTAGTTTTACACTTTTACCACAAGAGTAATTTTTATCGTCATCAAACTTTTCAATTTCATACTCAACTATTCCATTGTTTGTTTTTAGGTATGATTTCATTTCCATACTTGCTGCTTTACACATTTCCGTTGACTTGTCTGACAAGATCATAGTCGACAGCAACTTAAACCAATGTTTGATTTCTTCATAATTGTTCATTTCAAACACTAACCCAACACATGTGGCTATATAAAATGCTGTTTTTTCATCATCTGGATAATAGTGTTTAACATGGTTCAGAATATTTTTAACATAATGGTTTGTACAAGAAGTAATAACTACTGTGCTATAAGACAATGTTTCTCTTCCAGTTATTATTCGATGGCACATATCCAGGTATTCAAATATTGTTTCTTTACCATTCCATGCTTCAGAAATACCATGCATAAAAGCCCAACTGAAATCAGTTACAACATTTTTGAAAGGCGGCCAGATACTTGGATCTTTTGCAATTACTAGATCTTTGAAACATTTCAATCATTTTGTAACAGTTTCTTTATCATGTGTTGCACTGACCATATCAGTTATTGGGCATACCTACGGTTTCAATTTTACCTATACGCACTACACAAGCATAATAATAAATAGTTTGTTTTGTTGAGCTCTGAGGCCTGAGGGGGCTTAACAACTGCTCTTGTTGAATCCACATGAATAGTTGTTAACACACCTTGTTTAAATACATTTTGAACTATTGCCAACTGCTGTTGGCTTGCCCATGTTACATTGGATGGTTCTTCTATACTTTTGGGAATTTTCATATTCAACCAGGGATGTTCTTTGGCCATTAAGAATACATCAAAGTGATCATTTCGGTTGAAATCCCCTTTCAACTGTTGTGCACTATTCAGTTTCCTTAACATCGAAGGAGATTTAATTGTTTGCAAATTTCCACATTTCATTAATTTAATAGGTGAAACTGATAATACACATTCCTGTCTATACTTAAAAGCACTTTTCTCTTTAATTTTTTCAGCAATAATTTTTCGCTCAGCTAAATTTGAGAAGTGTATCGAGCATCTGGTTTATGATTAAAGTTTTTACTCGTACTGTAAACTTCAACAACTGCTTCTTCACCAGTAGGCAAAATGTGTAGTTTGAACTTCTTATAGTCACCATGTTTAAAATACATCTTCAGCTTCATTGATTTTTCTGTCTTAATGTATTCTAGCTTTTTAATATACAATATACAAGTGTTATTCACTTATTGACACCAGGATACCTGAAATATAACAATAAAACATTAGTATAGTTTCTGAGTAAAGGCTAATAATTGTACATTACATTACACTAAAATAAAAATAAAAATCAATTATTTTTTAGTTTACTATTGATAAACTATATTTACATATTTACTTAAATTATGTACAATTTTCCAAAGGCGGGCATTAACTATGTAAAAAGTTAAAGTTAATTTAAAACGTCAATTTGGGACACGTGTTTAACTTGGGGCAAAAATATTATCTCTTAGTTTTACCTTCATAAATTAATTAATTAATGTGATGCAAATATTCTGTTGTTATCTTAACAATATTTAAAATCACTTTGGTAGTGATGCAACATCAAATATGATACGTAAGTATTAATTTTTATTAATTCATCTTATGTTTAGTACCATTTTTAAAAAGTCCGA